CAGAGAAGAGCGCAATAATAATACCAACATGCGCCAGTGAAGCAACGTCCTCCTAGACTGAAGAACAACTAAAGAACAAAAAGGACAGCAACTTGTCTGTTCCCCTTCCCCAATTCCCCAACGCTGTTCCCCTCCCCTAATTCCCCAATAAAACTTTTAAAAAATGAAAAATAAAAATAAACGTTGTACATGAATAGGAAATAAAAGACTGATAAGAAATTCAACAACCTGTTAGTGCTGAGATTAAGGTTGTTATTTTACTTTTCATTTTTTCAAAATTTTCCAGAATACTGCTTTGGTAATAAATATCTTAATTATTATAAATAAAAATATCAGAGGGAAAGGCTTTTGAAACCCAGTTACTAAAGCAGAGGGCAGAAGACAAAAAACTCATCTTCCTTACTAAAGCAATAGAACTCCAAGAGCAGAACTGGGACCACTAATGTGAAAGTTTCGCAAGTTCTGTAATGCCAATTTTGCTATTTGTGCCTGTATTTACCTTCGTCCATCTGTTTCAGAGACAGCATGGCACAGGAGCTTAAGAACAGGCAGATTAGGACTGATTTCTAGCTCTGCCATTCCCTATCCATGTAACTTATAAACCTCCCTATGCTGTATCTGAAACATAGGAGTGATAATAATAAGTACCTCAAAGAATTATAAGATTAAATGAGGTATTACTTATAACTGTCTATGACATAGTAAGGCCACAATAAATACTAAGTGCTTATTGTTATTACTCCTTCTGTAAACAGCAGGTGGAAACCCTTCACACCAAAATGCTTTGTCTTCAACAGGAAACAGTTACCCCTTCCAATGCCAGGCTTTCAGAGAACACCAAAGAACACTGTATGTGGTAATGGGTACAGATGAAGAGAAGAGGCTGAGTGACTAAGATCAGATGTAAGAAAAGACAAAGAGGACACACAAAGTATTAGGGGAACCCACATGGGATTTCCTAACCAACTAATTCAAGAAATATTTCCTGAGCACTATGTTAGGCACTAGGAGGACAGAACTGAAAAAAACAGAAATGGTTCCTTCACCCTGAAGGGCAAATATCATCAACTGATATATGGGGTTGTCAGAAAAGTCATGATGTATTTTTTCTATGTTTTTCGTTGCAAAAATGCATCATGACCTTTCCGACAATCCAATAAATTCTTTCCTCTGAAGCATTAAATTACCTATTAGTATCTTCTTCAGGTATTTATTTTTTTAGGCATTGTACTACACTTACATACTTGCCTTATTTTCTCCATTACTACGTCAATAAGTTGAAGTCAAAAACGATTTATTTTTCATCTATATATCCCTTAGAATACTAGCACTATGTTCAGAACATAGTATGTCAGTAAATATTTGATTCGTATTAAAAGGTTGAACAAAATAGCTTTTAAATATAGGGAACATGAGTTTGATAAGTTTTCTTTATAAACTTTGTTTTTATCTGGATTTGCCATAATTTCCCTACTATACAATAAAACACCAAAATTTACAACTTTAGGTACTTTTCTACAAACAGAGTTTAAACATTTTGGGCTAACAATTGTGACAGCTTGCTCACTGAGCCATATTTTCTCACCCATGATTTCCTAGTTGGATTTCTCCATTTCCTTTTTAACGTTTTTTGTTTTGTTTTGTTTTGTTTTGGGGGGGGGAGTTGTTAAAACAAAAAAATTACTAAAGTGACACATGGAATTGAAGGGAGAAACAGAAAATTCAACAACAGCTGGAGATTTCCATATTCTACCTCAATAACTAAAGGAACAATTAGAAAATCAGCAAGGACCCGGCATCTATAGAACACTCTGTCCAACAACAGCCAACTATTCTTTTCAAGCACACATGGAACAGTCTCCAGGACAGTTCATATTCTGGCCCATAAAAAAAGTCTCAATAAATTTAAAAGGACTGAAATCAGATAAAGTGTGTTGTTCTAACCACAATGGAACTATTTAGAAATCAACAATAAAAGGAAATTTAAGAATTCTACAAATATTTCGAAATTACATATCACACTTCTAAAAAACCCATGCGTCAAGGAAATGGCAAGAGAAGTTAGAAAATACTTTGAAGTGAATTAAAATGAAAACAAACATCAAAATTTATGAGGCTCAGTAAAAACAGCTCAGAGGAAAATTTATAGCTTTAAATGCCTATATTAGAAAAGAAAAATATTTTTCAAATAAATGACCTAAGATTCCATCTTAAGAAACTACAAAAAGAGCAAACTAAACCCAAAGAAAGCAGAAGAAAAGAAATAATAAAATTAGGATAGAAAACAATGAAATACAAGACAGATAATAGAGAAAAATCAATGCAAAAGATGTTTCCTTAAAAAGACAAACAAAATTGACAAACCTTCAGCTGGAATAGGAATCACCAAACTTTTTATGTAAACAGCCAGAGAGAAAATCTTTTTGGCTTTAGGGGCTATAAGACCACTGTGTCTCAATGACTCAGCTCTGCTATTGAAGCAGGAAAACAGTCATACAGTAAGTCATACACTCAGGAAGAAAATGAAAAATCAGAATAGATCTACAACAAGAAATAGAATTAGCAATTTAAAATATTCTTATTTAAAAAAGCCTAAACCCAGATGGCTTCATTGGTGAATTCTATCAAACATTTAGAGAAAAAAAACAAACAAACCAATCTTCCAGAAAATCCTGAGAGACAGAGGAGGGAATACTTCCCAACTCATTCTATCAGGCCAGTATTATTCTGATATTAAAGCTGAACGAAGACATCACAAGAAAATTACAGACTAATAATACCTTTCATGAATATAGACTCCAAAATCTACAAGAAAATGTTAGTAAATAAAATCCAGCAACAAAGAAAACGTAATATATACCATGACCAAACGGGATATTCCCCCCCAAGAATACAAAGCGTTAGTTTAACATCTAAAAATCAATGAAATCTATCACATTAACAGTTTAAAGAAGAAACACCACATGATCATTTCAAAAGACAATGAAAAAGTATTTGACAAAATCTCACACCCATTCATGATTTAAAGACAGGGGGTGGTGGAAGAGAGAAACAAAACTCAAAAAACTAGGGAGAGAAGGGAAATTTCCCAACTTATAAAGGGCATCTATAAGAATCCTACAGCTAACATCACACTTAATAATGAAAGACTCAATGGTTTTCTCTCTGAGATCAGGAGCAAGACAAGGATGCCCACTCTCAGCACTTCTATGCAACTAGAACTGAGGTTCTAGCCCATATAATCAAGAAAGAAAGAGAAACAAAAGGCATCCAGACTGAAAAGGAAGATGTCAAAATGTCTGTTCGTTGATGACATGAGTCTATATGTAAAAAATCCTAAGGAATCCACATAAGAAACTACAAGAACTAACAAAGAATTTGGCAAGGTGTCAGGATACAAAATCAATAAACAAATTGCACTTCTACAGACTAGGAATAATCTGAAAAGAAAATTAAGAAAATAATTCCATTCACATTTATGCTTTTGCAATTTTATTGATATTATAAATAATCTAGTGAGGAATGTTTATAAATACATATAGAACTTTCCATATTTTGGATTTCCATTTGGATAGATTCCTGGAACTCTCTACTTGCTTTCATGGTGACAGGTTAAAAACATGCAGGTATTATATAAAGTAATTGATTCGGAGAAGAATGATTGTGTTACACTGTGAAGTGTGACCAAAAATATAAGGCAATTCTGGGTTTTACTGGTTAACAGAATTAGTTCTAAATAAATTCAAGAGCAGTGAAGGTTACTCACCTGCACAGCATGAGACAAATCTGACACCAGACACTGACGGAGCCTCTCATCACTCCCAATTCCTTGAAGAACAAAGTCAGGGACATAAGAAGAGCAGTAGCCACCCAACAAAGACCTCCCAAAATTGGCAATGTTGGGCTGAACAGCACTCACTTCAATTAACTTTGACCTAAAAGAAAGGTCCCAAAAGAAGGCACACCTAATTAGTAATAAACATGTTTTACCAATCAAAACAATTTTGGACTCTACTAGTCCATATTTAATGCCATCATTTTCTACAAAATATACTTAGATTACAATCATTCTTAAATAAAAACTGGCTTAAGTGCTCAATCAGACCACAAAACGACTCCTACCTATCTAGAGAAGAGGGTCTGATGAACAATTACATAATGAGGTGAGCATAACTCTTTCACAATAGACTTTAGGAATGCTGTCCTTTGTGTATGTAACACATTCGTAATACAATCCGATTACGAAGACCATCATCCAAAACAAAGTAGTTACATATCTCACAAACATTTCTAACATTTCTCAAGTATGACTCTTCTCCTTGCCTACTTGACCCATAACGTACCTTCTGTTTTCCTCATAGCCTTGGTGAATTTATTTGTAACAGCCATTTCCTACCTTCATTCTCAGTGATTCTCTCTCCCTAGTTGCCAGTCTCAGCATAGGTCCTTTTGGGGGCATAATTCATTTCTAAATGGCCTGAAAATTCCTAAGGAGTAAGAAATCTCCTACATACCAACATACCTTTTCTCTACTGCCTTCACAAAGTCTTTCTGGGTTATCTATGAAGCTTAGCCTTTAATCCTTCCTATCAGTAACAGCCCATGATAATAAAAGAGAATCTGTCCAGGATAATGATCTCTTCTTTTATATTAGCTCCTACCAACCTTCAGAGATCAGCTAAATAAAAGAATGGTACATATTTATATAAGACCTGTTATAGGTGGAAACTTCCCACTTACCCAGGAAAAGGTATCTCATCTTCTTCTGCCCAATCTCCTTGCTCTCCTCCATAATAACTGCTTACTTGTCTAGTCATATCATGGCCTGTATCTTCACTTTCACTATCCCCAAGAGCACTATCTGAACTTTCATTTCTTGGAATGTCCCATTCAGTTCCTACAGCAATTTTTTTCTCTGAACTCTCTTTATCCCCATGGGGGACAAGAATAGAGAGTGTATCTCTTTGGTCCTGCTGAGGATAGCAGGTTTTACATGAATCTTTGTGAACTGTTTCTACACATTTACAAAATTCATTGTCCTGTTTGCTAGTTTTTGTACAAAATCTTTTTGAAAATTCTAACATACAGCAGTGTTCTTTACTGTCTGTACTTGTTTTAACTGGAATATCATCAATAGTCCTAGTTTCAATTGAATCATCATTAAAATATTCATCAAATAAGCTCATGCTTTCTGGGTCCGAATGATTCCAGCAGGGAAGTTCACAGGGCTCTCCAGGCACCATGTTTCCTATATCAGGCTCTCCAGATTGGTCCTTAGTTGTTTGTTTAGTTTCTTGATGCTGATCAATAGCCCCTCTTTCTTCTTTCAGTGGTTTGGTGTGATGCCTGGTAATCTGATCCACCACAGCCTGACTTCGGAGTTCAGTGTCTGAGTCAGGTGACATAGAATCCCCAATCAAGAAAGTAACCTTTGCCTGGGCTGTCTCACAAGAAAATGCAGCAGTCACAAGCTTATCTGGAGGTTTTTTTTCCACAACAATTCCCGTGGATCTCAACACTTTGCCTGTGTGACTACCTGAATCCAGCAATTCCTCATTCTGCCATGTTTCTTCTGCTGGCTCCACGCCTGACTTTGACAATGCACATTTGTCTACTGGAGCAGATCCTGCGCAAACAACTGTCTCTAACTTAGTGTCAAGGCAAGTTCTTAATTTATCTCTGTACTGTTTAACATCAACAGCATTTTCTTCTTGGCAGTCAGAAGAAGTCATTCGGCACTCATCTGAAATTTCTAGCAGCTCCTTAGAGCTGTTTTGAATATCTTCACTCTCTTGTTGTGACACATTCTCTGTATTTTGCCCAAGGAGTGGACGACTGCAATATTTACAGTTACAATTAGGAGTCCTTGTTTCTTCTGACTCTTTAAACAGAAGACTGCTTTTGTTTCTATGCACTGTGATAAGCACATACTCAGATTCTTCTATTTCACCTTTCTCTAACGTGGTAGTAATTACTGTGCCTGGCATAACGATGGCTTCATCTTCTCCGTTTTCTAAAAGATGGGTTTCTTGAAGTTCAGAGCATCTTATGAAATAAGTAAGAAAATAAAGCAGCCTCTGGACCATGTCTTGTCGCTTGCCAACTACCACAGTCCGTGCTAATCGTACAGGAGAGCCGATAGCGCCATACAAGTCTCCTGCAATGGAGAAAATCAGTTAATGGACACATCCTCAACTCATGCAGCTAAGCAGGTTATTTTCAATTATCGGAAACCCACTCTTATTGTATGAGGGTTCAGGTTTTATTCTTAGTTCCTTAAAATGAAAGTAGGATGAAAATAATGGTCTAAACCAAAGAGAAAGGTGAATGGAGGGGTTTCCTAGCTTCCTCCTTAAGTAGCTGCTGTGGTTCTGAATCCTCAAGCCAAAAATCCGTTGTAAAAGTCACCTTTACCAAGAATATTCTTTATGCTAGGCCCCAAGCAGAGTACTCCACCTGGGGAGAAGTGCTGCTGAAGTACGATGTGCAAAAAGATTCTATAGCTGCATCCAACACAGAGAAGAGAAAGCACAGTATCTGCTGGGGGGCAGGGCGGGGGGTAGGGTAGGGGGCGCAGGGAGAGGACAAGAGCAGAACTGGAGCACTCACCTCACACATTTAACCTTCCCTGATTGAAATCATAACCCTTACTTTTGCTGCTCTACCCAGGACCCCACAGTTCCCATAGTATTAAAAGCCCATTCCCCTCCTTCAAGGGTTGGATACTCAGGATAGACCAGAAAGGGCAGGAAGAGTGAGACCTATGCTAAGAGAAAAAGAAAGGGCAACACGTTTAGCCATGTGGTTCATTTTCACGTGTGTATCCATACCAGACGTGAACAGCTGTTAAAAGGGGGGGGGGAGCTGGGGGAAGTAAGAGTTATCAATGTCATTTCTATATTTATATGATAGCTCAAATTAAACCAACAAAGAAACAGGTTCCAAAATACTTTAAAGTGGAGAATACAAAGTCATTAAATTTAATTCCATTTCACAAGTTGTCAGTATACACATTTAAAAACCTCTATTTATACTTTACAAAACCCCCACACTTTTGCAAAGAACAAACAAATAGGTCTCAAACAAACATATGCTACAGACAGTATTATGATAAATCCTCTCCTCTGGCTAGACACTGGCCCTAATACCATTACGCCTCTGTTCGGAATTATTCCCAAGGTTCCACTAATCACCAAACAAACTAAAACTGCTTCGACAAGTGAGTCCTTCATGACTAGTTCCACTTTACTTCTCCAGATTTACTTTCTTATGGTTACCCCTTTTCATCTTTATTCACCCCAAGTCCCACTTAAAGTGGACCACTGAATATGCTCAGCACTTTTAACATCCAGATCCTTTTACTCAAGCCACATAATTTCCCTTCCCTCTGTATTTCTGCCACTCAAAAGCTTCCCACCCAAGCATCCTCCCATGAGCAAAAGTAAACTTCCCTAGTTGAACTCCCACTGAACTTTTCATTTCTCTTATAGTTCCTCTTTGAATTTTCCTTATTGTCCTCATATGTATTACCTACAGTATAATACTGTCAACTTACTGAGGGCAAGGACTAGATATCATTCATCTTTACACCCTCCAATGCTCTTTGTATAGAACCTTAGCTATCTCATGTACTCAATTAATGATTATAAAATTAAAAATAGGTTTGAAATGTCCAAAAAAATACTAGCGAATTACCAGATTTGAAAAAAGGAAATTTATTATCTATACAATGGAATACTACTCAGAATTTTAAAAAATGAACTATTAATACACACAACATAAGTGAATCTCAAAATAATTATGTTAAATGAAAGAAGTCACACAAAATAAAGCATGTACTGTATTATTCCATTTACACAAAACTCTAGAAAATGCAAACTAACCTACAGTGAGAGAAAGGAGACCAGTGGCTGCCTGGGTATGGGGGAAAGTGAACAGGGAGAGTGGGGTAACAGGAGAGCGAGATTACAAAAGGGAAACTTTTCAAAGTGATGGATACGTTCAACATCTTGATTTTGGTGATCGTTCAAGAGGAATATATATTTTGACATATATATCAAAACTTACTAAATTGTATACTTGATATATGTTTGTTGTATATCAATTATTCCATAATTCAAGTAGAAAAAACAAAAGGAGGGAATAAGGGAGGTTGGCTACATGGATTAATAAGTCACATGACACTCTGCCTGGCAATCTCACTCACCAACACAACCTAAGGGACGTTTCTACCAGGTCACCAAAGCGTTCTCAAGCTTATTGCTCCCCATGACTTAACAGCAATAGAGTAAGGGTAGGAGTAACAGCAGCTACATTTACCAGACACTGTCCTAATCACTTAATGTGTATTATCCCACTTAATTTTCACAACTTTATGAAGTATGTACTATTATTATCTGCACTTTACAAATAAGTAAACTGAGATTCAAACACGGTCTGCCTGATTCCACAGTCCGTGCTTCCAAGCACCTGCTACACTGCCTTCCTAACCACTGTCTCTCATCAACTATCCCCTCTCCTCTGGTAACCAGTAATTCATCAGGGCTGAGCACTAAGAGAATCATTTTTCAAAATTACTCAACAAACAAACGAAAGTCAGACAACGCAAACCTCAATGACAACTCCTCTGTTAACCAGATTTATTCTAGCTATCACATGTGACTGTGTTGATTCATTCTTTCTAGGCAAAGTACCTAACACAAACCCCCTGCTGACCCTGCAGTTACTAGTAAACAGCCAGTATCCTGCCTCTATTGCTCCGGCTGCAGTTCTCTATCTATAAGGTATAATACCAGGCACAAGATGGGCATAAGACAATTTAGCAGGCATGAAAAGACAAGCAAAGAACAGGTGCTTTAGAATAGAGTAGAAAAAACAGAGCATTTTATTTCTTTATTTTTGTTTTTGCTGCAAAATAACTTCAGACAGTTACACAAAAGTCTTAAGTATGATACATAACAGTGATTTTCAGCTACATACCCAGTTGTGCCCACAGTGGGTTATATGGATGAGTCTTTGCCAACATGTCTACACTCTGAGAGGAATGTTTTTCTAAAAATATTTTTATAGGTGGTTGTCCATTTGGCATGACTGTTGGAACCCAGGCAAGATGATTGGTCAGAACTGCAGTAATGAGTGCTGGCAAGAATCTGAAAAAGAAAATGCATCCTATCAGGTTCCAGCCTGCCTTCATGACACCTTAGGTACAATACAGTGACAAAATAAACAAAGAGAACACACATTCTCATGTGGCCAAACAGCATAAAAAAGGAGAGAAGAAAGGAAGGCATATCACTAGGACAAAAATGAAAGTGAATTAATTTTTCGGTTGTATAGGAGTTAACAAAAATCCTTAAATAAAGACAGCATTCACAAGGAGCTATTTGTGATCACAATTACAAAACAAAAATGTAGTTTTACTTGAAAAATTATGGATTCTTTTCAGTGTTTAACCTACACAATTTATTAACAAATAAACCAGAAAGTCTCTACATTTCCAAATAACTGAATGGGAAAATAAAGTTAAGTATTAAGCAAACTTTGTCTACCATTAAAGAGAATAAAAACAGGCCGGTTGAGTTAGCTTAAGAGAGCAAACCCTGAGCAACAGGGCTGCCAGTTCAATTCCCACATGGGCCAGTGATGCTGTGCCCAAGCTGAGCTGCCACTGAGCTGCCAACAGGTGGCAGGATGGCTCAGCTGGTGAGAGCACATGCTCCTAACAACAAGACTGCCTGTTTGATGGTGGGCTATGCCCGCCCGCAACTAAGGCTGAACTAGGCACCTTGAGCTGAGCTGCCACCCAGATGGCTCAGTGGCTAGAGCGTGGGCTTTTAACAACAAGGCTGCCAGGTTTGACTCCCACATGGGATGGTGCCTACCCCCACCTGCTACTAAGAGTGTAACACAGCACCCTGAGCTTAGAGGCCACGAGCTGCCGACGGGCAGCCAGATGATGAGTGGCGCCCTCCACAACTGAGACTGGAGAACAACAACTTGGCTGGTCTTCCTCCCCAATTCCCCAACATTGTTCCCCTCCCCCAATTCCCCAATTTAAAAAAAAAGAAAGAGGGAGAATAAAAACATCTGAATTCTAGGAATGTGATGAATGCTAAGAAGGGAACAATATGATAAATTATCACATTAAAAATGTATCACTGAACCTTGGCACTTTGTATAATTTTCTACTTCTTTTCTACAGAAGGAAACTGCAAAAGTGGATATAATTCACAAAAAAAATGGGAAGCCTCAGCGAGTTCTATGTCAGGAATTTCAATTTAACACAAAGACATTTTTACTGTTTCTCATTCATAAAGTTCTGGGGCCTTCTTCCATACTGTATATTTTAATTATCTTTTAGAACTGTTTTGATTATTAATAATATGAAATAATTCCAAAGATAATGGTTCTTTCACTTTTGTAATTGAGTTTGATAGCTAAGATAGATAGACAGATATAGATAAGAGTAAGCCATACTGATTTTTTGAAGCATTTTCCATTAGAAAAGTGAACTCCTTCATGAAACGATGGCAAAGCTGGTTTTTTTCTGGAATCCCAGACATCATTGTAAGCCAGACAGGCTCTCCAATTCGTGGCATTGTGTAAAGATTACAAATCGTTGTCCTAAAAAGGGGGAAACACATTATGAAATTCATAGTTCCCAGAATTACATACTCTTAAAATAAAGTTATCTTGCCAGCTTGGGCCTCACACCTAGATTATTAAAGCTTTTGAGAGAAGACAATGAATCAAGTCATTTCTTCTTTGTCATCAGCACAGTACCATGGGAAATATTCTGTACTCAAAATATGTTGATTCTGGCTCTGCCTCAATGACTGTGCCCTTGGGTAAATTACTTTCCTAATTTAAGCATCAGTTTCCTCCACCCATAAAATGAAAGGATAGGACTAGGTAATTTCTAACGCCCCTTCCAGCTCTATGTCTGAAGTTAAATGCTATATTTAAATATGCTGCAAATAATCAACAAATAAAAAAGAAAAATATTCTAACTGGAGTAACAGCTTATCCATATAACTACTCAAAATAATTACAAAATACTACTCAGCCTATGCTGAGACTCTTTAGTGAGGCTCTGAAGGATGATGAGGACATTATAGATGGCATGCTATATTCTGACTCTCTTTCAACGTTCTGAAATTTTCCTTGAATCAACACAAGAGAGGTTTATTGTACAATTATGATAGTGCTCTTCTGTCTACTTCATTTTAGGCAATAGCTAGTCTCGTGACTTGCACTCTCTCCTCAAGGCTTCAAGGATACCTTTAAGATGTCAATTCATTTCTTTTACATTAATATCTACTTTGCAAAGTCCTATACACTCACCAGACCAAGCAACTCCTATAAAGTTGGGGCTTCAGAAACTAGTCAATCTCTAGTTCTCTGATATCTCCACAAATGCTAATACCTACACCTCAGCATAATTCCCTAACATCTAGAATCCAAAAAAGGAAAAGAATTCTCTTGCCTGTACAAGTTTCACGGAATCCTGACCCATTATGAACATGATATATTACAATGGACAGAAGTGACTATATGGGTCACATTAATGAGTTTTTGGTGGGGCATAAAATCATTGCTGAGAACTTAAAAATATATGAATAAATGGAAAAGAATTAAAGGGTTGTTTTTTTTTTTACAGAGAAAAATACGACTAGAATATAAACAAGGGATATTTGAAAATGTTTATTTTTAAAGCCTACTAAGGATGTCCAGATAGGATGGAAAACTGAGCACAAATGTTTATCCCCTTTCAGTTCTGATGCCCCAACTGAACACCACTTAAGGATATAAAAACAAATAAATCACTATCACAGACAGAATTGGAGAGGAACCCTCAGTGAAAATTAAAATTATAGATTTAATAAAATTCTAGAGGACAAAACATAGAGAAGAATGTTAAATGAAGTAGTAGGGTAGAGGAAGATACAGGTTATAGTGCTCACTGGGGGCGGGGGGAGGGGCTAATTTGCCCACTGAAGCACAAAGGGTCTCAGGACTCACAAGTGCTCGGTGAAGCAGAGGGCAGGGGTTATACAAAACTGTACAATGGGAGACTAATTCAAGGTCCCTAAATGGTTGGTTACTCCTATCTCCACCCCATTTTCCTACAGAATGACTACAGATAGGAGAGCAAATGGAGCAACTGCCTAGCCCAGAGAAATAACATTCTCTAAACTACTTCCTGATATTTAAATATTTCACAGTACACAAAGAAATATACAGCAAATCTTGTGGTATTAAAATTCCATTGATGGGGAGGAGAACTGGGGGGAGGGGGGAGTCTAAATATGTTCCTAAATATGATAATGAAAAATGGTTGAGCAACACTGCCCTAAAGTGAAGTTATCCAGTCTTGCCTGATTTGTGCAGAGTTTCCTTTATTTTGGTGCCTCACTCTCAACTACAAATGGGCAACCAAAATACTGAAATATGGGAAAAGCCTCCAAGGAGAGAGGGACACAAACAGAAACACAGAAACAGACACACACACACACTCACACACACAAAATAATTCCAGAGGCAATAGAAAATACATTCAGAAAAAGAAAACAATAAAAAAAAAAGACAGACAGAGAACATCAATCTAGGAGTTTTAGTTTCTAACAAATAGAATTTAAGAGAAAATAGAGGAAAATAAACTATTAAAGAAAGTAGACTATTTACCAGAGCTGAAAAGACAAGAAGTACTAGCACAATACTGAGAGGCTAAAGATCTGAGAAGCAGGTATAAACTCATGGCAAAAAAATAAATATGCTCTAAAATTGATAAATCAGGAAATAGCTGCATTAAGTATACTGTTTAATAATATGGAGGTAAATAACAAAATAAATAGTTAAGAGTTAAAAGAGAATGTTCTTGGTAAGTAAGAATGGGGATGGGAGAGGTAGGACAGCAGGGTTCTTTTATTTTTCATGATTAGACCTTTCAGTATATTTTTTTGTTTCTTAGCCATGTGGATGTACTTTTTCATTAAAAAACAAACAAACACTGTATAAATGATCAATTCATTTCCCATGAGTTTCTTCAGCATATTAGTGTCTACTACAAACACTATATGTCACTAACATTAGTACAGTGGTCCACTGAGGACATCAGCTTTAGTGTTTTGGTGTTTAAGAATATGTACTATGATTGCAGTGTATCAGGTGCAAAGAAGGTAAAGAAATTAATTATGCAGTAGTACTTCTTACTACATACAACTCTATGTGATCATCAGCAATCTAGAAATACTGTTGCTTTCTTCCCCACTAATGATTACACCCTACCCTTCGGTGATACAAAGAACAAGTATTTTCAGTTATCTGACTGAAAAGGTCATTTTACAGAGAAGAATATGACTAGAATATAAACAAGGGATATTTGAAAAATGCTTATTTTTAAAGCCTATTAAGGATGTCCAGATAGGATGGAAAACTGAGCACAAATGTTTATCAAATGTTTATTCCCTTTCAGTTCAGACCTTCTGTTTTTTCTGATCTGTCCCTTGAACACGAAAGACTCCTGCAGTTATAAGGGAACTGTGGACATGATTCAGTTATCTTTTTTTTCTTTCTCTCTTTTTTTTTTTCTGTGGGGAGAGCACAGACACTGGTCAGTTTCCTTTGCTATGATGAAGTCTAGGTAAAAGTCCAAATCCAGGAAGCAATGCTAACTGAAACATACTTCCTGCTTCTCTAAATTTCATGGCTTCTGTATACACGTGCATCATTTCCTTCCTCTTCTCAACTACCCAAAATTCATTAATCATCTGGTCTCAAATAATCACATACTTTAAAAATTATCTAACAACTAATTTTTAATAACCACTTAATTTTAAAATTAAGTGTGACAGTCTTATTTATAGTAATGTTCTATAAAGTTGATGTGAACAGTAAAATTAGTGAACACTGAATCACTGTTCCCAGGGGAGATATAGGGTTTAGATGCCTGTGAGCCTCTGGTCACATTTGTGTCAACCCATCAGTAGATAATCTTGTCTTATGTGGGTTTCTGTAATATTTAATATACTGTTGATTAACACTGAATTCACAACCAATAGCACTATGACTCACATCTGAATGAAGCTTACCTAACATGTATTTTTCTCTGTAAGGTACATCGCAGCCTTCTTGCACTTAGGAACATTGGACAGCATTTCAGCACTATACTTGAGGGCCATTTTAAATAGCAAAATCACTAACAAAAAGCAAGAAATGCTAAAAAAAAAAAGAAAAAAGAAAAAAGAAAAAGAAAACAAAGCAAGAAAAGAAAGTGGCACTAAACAGATGTCAAAAGGACACTTGTTTAGAGAATGAGAGCTGAAACAAAACGGCAGAGCATTTCCTTGTTTGACCTCATCTGGGAATGTGTGTGTGAGACCAGTCAATTTTTTTCACTGCTCTGTGCATGTCCACAAATAATCATAAAAGCACTGTGAGTATATTTCGGGGTTATAAATAAATTTTACCGAGTAGGCGAGTTCACAAATACAGAATCTATAAATAATGAGGATCGACTGTACATATTAAAGTACTTCTACAGATAGACCTCTTAATAAAAATTAAGTTTATTAAGTATTTCTAAGATATTGTAAAAATGCTTAACTGAACTGACACAGCCTTTCAGATTTGCACAGTGGCTGAAGTGAAATAAACTAATACAAAAGGGAAGGTGCACAATCATGACATACATTTTCAATGGTTTATAACACACCCACGTTGTCAATTCTGGGCAATCTTAAAATTCTAAGGCTAGGGCTTTCATCCTGCTCTATTACCAAAGCAATTAACTCCTAGGTATTTAATTCAATTGTTTAAAAATAAAAATATTGTTAATAACTTAAGAGCAAGATCAGTATTCTACTAGGAATGAATCTTATGAATATATACTATTCTAGTAACCTCAGCTGGATCTATAATGACAGCATTTCCTCAGAGCTCAAATAGGAACTCTTGGTCTTCTGCCACAGAGCATGTGACTGTAGAAAAGGAGCTGTAATCCAATAATGTAAGTAATAGTTCTAAGTGCAAGGGCGAGGATTTCATTACCTTGTAATACTGCAAAATGCAAAACTCAAAATAATACTGCAGGAGTCTTTCAGGTAAATAAGCAAAATGTCTATACTATTTCTCCGATGTGCATAAAAGAGCAAAGGCTGAGAGGATGAGAGAATAAAGTGGACCAGACATAAATCTCTTAGAGGGAGACACACATCAGTCATTTAGTGTGATTCCCAACATTAAGTTCACACGCAATATGTTTGCTTGCCATAATTAGAGCACAGTCACAGCAGTCATCGGAGCTTCAGGCACAAGCTTTGCTGTGCCAGAAAACACAGGCAGAAGAAAAACTATCTGCTTTGCCATTTCTCGAGAAAGGATCAAGCAACAGTTATTTGGAACATCAAGTTCATATTCCCTCTATCCATGTGTCCTTGTATTGCAAGTATCCAAGAACACCTGATTACTATCACTGGTTACATAACATTTAACTAGTCCCTACAGCCAGAAGCCCAAGAGGGGGCAAAGTATATTTCTGCTGGAATAAGGGTCTCTTCTGGTCATATTTGCTTGTCGTTGGAGTAATAAATATCATACCACCAATGGCTCCCAAATGTGCCTGAATCCCAAGCACATTTGATATTTAATAACAGGAGCCAATGGCTTACTGAATTTACACCCTCATTTGACCATGAGACAAAGAAATTTTAAAAATGAAATTGTATCAAAATATGGTAAAGAAAATAAATAAATCTTCCAGTACACTGCAAAACAACGGTATATTATGAAAAGCTGGTGAATATGTACCTGAATTCATTTAGGGCATCAACTATGCGATTATAAGCCAAACTCCTCTGACTGGCATCAGCAGATCTCCGGCTCATTTTCATAGCCTTGAAAGCAATCAAATAGTTAATTCTTACACTCATCACAGGAAAAACATGAAAAAAAATAAAGTGAAAGACAAAGACATATATTTTCAAAACACTCTACCACCATTCTTACCTAAAAAAATATAAAGAAGACACACATATTTACAGTGGCTTTCTTTTATGTACCTTAGGTCATTAATGATTATAACAATTTTCAAATTTTTCAAGTGTTAAATATTTTATTATAACTGTCAAACCGCAGAATGTCAACACACAAAGAAACTGATGTTGACACTTTCTGGGTTACATAAAACTACTTTTTCCCCCAAATAGAACAAGGCAGAATGATAACTAACTAACAATAGCTCCTGGTTTCCTCTAATATTTCATAAATCATGGTTCTGTTAAGAAAATATTTTTTTAAGATCTGAAATTTAAAGATTCTACTGAAAGATATCTCCAGTTATTAGTAATATTTGCTTTCTTAAAAACATGTTTAGCCAAGGTTGAAAAGCCTTGCTTTAGGTAGAAAACAGGACATCAGTATTAGGATATGGATGTCAGAAAGAACTTTGCAATTTTTTAGATTTTTGAAAGAGAATGTAATTCTGCATTACTTATGTTATTACAACTTAACTAAAAATTTTTTAAACATATATTTAACAGGTTAGACTACTTCAGGCCAGAAATCATGTTCATGTACACTTAAAGCTTCATAGGGTAAAAGTGAAACTTCATTTATGTTTTTACAAACTATTGAGAGATTCCCAATTTACAAAGAATTTTTTAGCTAGAATTGAGAAATATTTGTCATTAATTTTACTAGAAAACAAACAAAAAACTTTAATTAAGTTATAGATCTCAAAAGGTAACACAAACCTCAAAAAAATTACCAATGTGTTCAGAAACAAAATCCATCTTTTTTTCATTAAGAAAAAGTGGTAGTTTGAAAACTGGTCCGAAAAGATAATGTCTTCGGATGGTCTAATATTTACTATATTCTATCATTAACTAACAACTGTACACCTTTTAAAATTTATACATTTATATAAAAGTATTCATTCATTCAGCCTTACATTTCAGCTTTAATAAGAAATGAGATGTTAAACAAGTATCTAGACAGCTATAAGTATTGCAATGTACACTTTAGGATACAGAATGGTCAAAGCATTAAAACATCTGAAAAGTAATCTTTAATGAGTTCTACAGTGCCTAGATATTTCAAGTTTAATACAAAGCTAAAACACTTCTCCCAGTAACTCAAAATGTCAGCTCAGTCACATAAGTATTATGTGTATTGACTTTGGCAACAACAGACTACAAAAAGGGACAGCAGCCAACTGAAGAGAATGTCACCAGTGTCTAACTTCTGAAAGAGTAAGTGAAAATGGCCTTTACTCACTCGTTCAGTAAAAAAAGTATTGCTAGTGATCTATTTGTCTGTTGACAGATGTAATGTGAATAACTAACATCAGTGTCTCTTCTGAAGGCAGATGATTATTCACTACACAGTTACTGAAATGCATCCTCTACTTTCAAGACCATTCTAATTGGTCTTTCTCTCTCTAGCCTCTTATTCTAGTCTCTTTTAAACACTGCAAATTAATCTTCCTAAAGCACAATTTGGAGACAGCCTTACAAACAGCCAAAACTTCTGGCAAGCATTCTAGATTCTTTGTGATCTGGTCCCCATTAACTCTGCCAGCCAACTCCTCTCTGCATTCTTTTCCCTTCCACATACTGTCACAGGGAATAAGGACTTTAGTTATACCCACTGACTCACTGGTTCAACTTCTGGGAATCTCTTCTAAAATATAATCTGGAAAATTCACCAATATGTTAACGATAGTGTAGCTATAATTGTGAGAAAGTAGAAATGGTCTAATAGAAAAATTGTTACTTAAACTGAGGAAAGCCACTAAAACATATTTAAGAACAATTTATAATGACATGAGACATGTGTATGCTACAATGATGAGTTTTTAACAATAGGCATATAATTAAAGCAATATGGACACAGCACAATCTCCATCAAGGTAAAGTACAACATGCATAAAAAAGGCCTGGATAAGATTTTCAGTAAAATGTTCATGAATTCTCCTCGGGTGGCAAGGATGTCAATTTTTCTTGCTATTCTGCTATATCCAATTTCCAAAGTTTTATGTTTAAAGAAATCCTACATATCCTTTAAGATGCAGTCCAAATGAAACATCTTCCCAGTACGAAGTCACTTTTCCTTCCTATGAACTCCTAAAAAAACTTGGCTTCTTCTCATTTTTAGTTATCCTTATATTCTACCTTATAATCACAATTTTTACTTTACATAAATTTATTATATACACTATTGACAACATTTGACACAATTCATCACTCCTACCTCTTAAAACACTGTCTTCACTTGGATTCCCTCAAAAAAGTACTCTCTCCATTTTCCTCCTACTTGAATGGCCAATCCTCAGGCTCCTCTCCTCAAATATTAACTGTTGAAATGCTCCATAAATCAGGCCTAGGATCTCCGCTCCACTCTTCAATCCTGTAGTCAGTTTTATGGCTTTAAATGTCATCTTCACACTGGTGACTGGCCAGCATGGACCTTTCCCCTAAACTCTACACACACATAACCACCTGAATGTCCGGGAGGTATCTCCAACAAACTCCTGATCTTCGTCCACCTTCTGTGCATCTGTAGTTTTCCCATTTTAGTACTGGCAAGTCCATCCTTCTTACTGCTCAAATGAAAATTCCTGAGTCAACCTCTATTGTTCTCTTTCTCTTCCACTCCAGTTCAGTCCACCAGCTAATCTAATTCACTCAATTTTCAAAATATATCCAGAACCCAACCACTTCTTACCAATTCCACCACTAAACTGGTTTGAGTATCATCATCTCTTACCTAGATTATTGCAATAGCCTCCTAACTGGTCCCACAACATCCACCTTTGCTCCTAGAAATCTATTCTCCATCATCATTAATAAACAGTGATCCTCATAAAAGTCACCCTGCCACTCAAAACCCTCCAGTGGTTTCCCATCTTTTTCTTTAGAATAGATGCCAGCGCTCTGACAATGGTATCTCTTAAGGCCCTACGTGACCTTGTCTTAGTCTACCCCAGCCACTTTGGCCTCCGGACTGTTGCTCAAACATTAGACTTACTCTGGACATAGGACCTTTGCCCTGCCTCAAACACTCTTCTTTCAGATTCTATAACTCACTTCCTTCACATCTCTGGACCATGTGCCATTTTATCAGGAAACTTCCAGACTAGCATATCAAAATCAGCAATCCTTCCATCCATCATTCCTTATAAATCCACCCGTTTTATTTTTCTCCACAGCACTTATTCTCATATAATAGCTTATATATTCATTTGTTTATTTGCTGTCCCATGAGGTTAGGAGTGTTGCTTTTCTCACATCTTATCTTTACTTGTTAGAACAGTGCCTGCCACATTATGGGCCCTCAATTATTTATTTATTGAAAGAAAGGATGAATGACCTCAGATCTTTTATGAGGCAGTAAGTGTCTTAAAGAGTTGAAGTCTATTTTGTATCTTCCAGAACACTCTGTAGGGTACCTGCATGGTGCCTGTAAATTTTTCTGCCAAATGAATAAACACAATGCTTCAACAAGAGAATAAGATACAAAGGAAAATAAGGGATGTAAGCAAACCAACAACATGACTATGCTTACCTGTTCTATTGCACTTTTTAATTTGTTCATGTGGCTTTCAAAAAGAGGAAAATGTGAAAAAAAGAATTCGTTGAATTTATTATTTTCATCTTCATCTTTGGATAATGAAAAGATTACCCCAATTGCAATCTTCTTTTTCCTCACAATTCCTGGGTTAGGGCCACAGCTCTCATCTGACAGATTAAAGCTTTCTTCTATAGACCTTAAAAACAAATTTGTTATTAATTAAAATATATATAAATATGCAAAAATAATTAAATTCACAATTTAATCTTGCTGATTAAATGTAGGCAAGCTAAAGTCTTCTGCTGTTTTATCAAGTAAATCTAAAAATTTGTATCAGTTGGATATCTCTTTGAGAAATCTACTGGCTATTCCTTCATTATCACATTTTTATAAGAAATTTTGGGGGACCGGCCGAGTGGCGCGATGGTTAAGAACTCGCTTGGGATGCCAGAGGGCCCCGGTTCGGATCCCACATATGAGGGCAAGTAACACTGCCCTCCACAGCTAAGATGCTGAACAACAGCTCAACCTGGAGCTAGCTGGGCTGCCTGAGTCGCTGGTGATGGCGTGGGCTGCAGTCCCTGTGGCAGTGGATTGCCATGGGCTACCGTGTGGCCAGCAGCCAGCGTGAGCGGCCAGCAGCCGCAGTGAGCAGCCGTCCAGAAGCCGGCGACTGATCTGCCTCGCCAGAGAAGAGCTCAATGATGGTGCCAACTTGGGCCAGTGAAGCAACATCCTCCACAACTAGATTGAAGAACAAAAAGGACAGCAACTTGTCTGTTCCCCTTTCCCCAATTCCCCAGCACTGTTCCCATCCCCCCAATTCCCCAATAAAAATCTTTAAAAAAAAAAAAAAAGAAATTTTGAGTCAGAATGGGAACATTTTGAAAAAAAAAAAGTCACTAAAAAATAGATAGTCCCAATTCATAACCAACATAATCATGCCTGAATTTTAAGGTTTATTATAGATGTGTCTGATACAATCTCTTCACTGGTCTAGAATCTACTTGTTTCTTCTTTGATTCCAGGTATAAAATCAAAGATGAAGGAATAAAGGGAGTGAGTAAAGAAGAAGCTTCATTGTCTATAGTTATATTTACCATAGACTAACAAAAGATCTTTTAAGAATGAATTAACTTGCCAAAATAGAAACAGGAAAAACTGAAATATCAAAACATACAGTACATGGATGAAAGTCCCAACAGAAGAGTTAAAACTACAAAACTTTAGAGGAAAACATTTTCATAACATTGGGTTTGGCAATGATTTCTTCGATATGGCATCCAAAGCACAGGCAACAAAAGAAAAAAAAGAGATAAACTGGACTACATAAAAATTAAAAACTACTGTACACGAAAAGACACTATCAACAGAATGAAAGGCAACCCATGGAAAGGGAAAAAACATTTGCAAAGCATTTTTCTGATAAGGGACTTATATCCAGAATATATAAATAACTCCTACAACTCAACAACAAAAAAACAACCTGATCTAAAAATGAGCAAAGCACAAGAATAGATACTTCTCCAAAGAAGACAGACACATGGCCAACAAGCACAGGAAAAGATGCTCAACATCACTAGCCATTAGGAAAATGCGAATCAAAACCACAATGAGATACCACTTCACACCCATTAGGATGGCTATCGCTATCAAAAAAACAGATTAACAACAGCGATGACGTGGAGAAATTAGAACTCTTGTGCATTTCGGAAAGTAAAATGGTGCAGCCACTGTGGAAAACAGTATGGCAATTCCTCAAAAACTTACAAACAGAATTATCATATGATCCAGCAATTCCACTTCTGGGTATATACCCAAAATTATTAAAAGCAGGGATTTGAACTGGCATTTATATACTCAGTGTTTACAGCAGCATTAGTCACAATAGCCAAAGGTGGAAATAACCAAAAATATGTCCATAGCAGATGAACGAATAAACAAAATGTGGTATATACATACAATGGATAATTATTCAGCCATAAAAAGGAGTGAAATTCTGATTCATGCTATAACACGGATGAAACCTGAAGACATGCTAAATAAAATAAGCCAGACATAAAAGGACAAACAAATATTGTATGATTCCATTTATATGAGGATCTAGAGTAGTCAAACTCATAGAGATAAAATATGGAATGGTGACTGCTAGGAGCTAAGGGGAGGGAGAGGTGGCGAGTTATTGTTTAATGAGTAAAGAGTTTCAGTTTGGGGAGATAATTAAGTCCTGGATGTGAATGGTTGCACAACAATCTGAATACTTAACGCCACTGAACTGTATACCTAATAATGGTTAAAATGGTAAATTTTGTTATGCATAATTTACCACAATAAAAAAATGCAATATAGGGCCAGCCGAGTGGCTCAGTTAGTTAAGAGCTCGCTCAAGAGTTTGAGCTCTGAGCAACAGCGGTTCGATTCCCGGCCCGAGCTGAGCAGCCACTGAGCTGCCAACAGGTGGCAGGATGGCTCAGCTTAAAAAACAAAAAAAAAAAGCAATATATTTAAACAGCATTAAGCTCCCGACTTAAAATGCACGAAATATCAGTCAAGACTTTAAAAAAAACAAAAACATACAAAATTGTGTTTAAGAAACTATTCAATCTTGTAAATTTAGGTTCCAACATACCATCTGGGAAATACACCATTCTCCAAACTTGTTGTTTGGCTGCGTCGCCAACGTCGCTGGTAGCTGCTAGCACAACTTCGGGTAAGTGAGGAGTTTGGGGAGGGAAACGGTGTAATAAGCAAACTGCTGAGAGATGCTGTCAAGCAAGAATAAGAACAAGTATAATGTATAAGTCAATTATAACTAAATATAAGGAAAATTTCTTTTTAACAAATTTAAGAATGGTGACTCAAATTTTCCAGTTTGCTTCATGAGCCTCTAAAATTTCCATTAAAAGAAAAATAACATCATTGTTGGAGCAAGGTCCTACGAAGAAAAATCATATATTAACAGTGTGTTAGCAAGAAACTCTGAGCTAATTCCCCTTTGACATCCTTATCCCCACTCCACCCCCACCCCAGAAGAAAATGCTACTCTGAAATAAAGCATTAGCCCTTTGGCAATGACACAGTCTCCTAGGTCAGCTGTACACTTAGTGCTTAAAGGAAACACGATGTGATTCAATTTTAATGCAGCAGTTAGATTTTAAGAACAAAAGCTATATTTGAAAATAAGTGTCTCGATATCACTTAAAGATGTCATTGAAAAGTACTCGTAGGTCACTTATGCACAGGTAGTCAAGCCTCTGATTGCTTGACCACTTTCAATAAGAGTCATGACTATACTACTAAGCTCCAAAAAGGGTAAATCCTATAAACTGCTCTCTGGAGCATTCTAAGAGGAGACAGATACAGTCCAATAGAGTCCACTCTAATTATAATTGCAACAATCCCTAAATGTAGGGATTTTTCTTTTTTCAAATCCATTCTCTGCAATCCAAAAGCTCTGGTTTTTGTAGGGGTGTCAAAAGCTAGAACCTTGGGCTAGGAATCCTCTCCTTCTCACTGGATCTATAGAGGAACAGACATTAAGAACTTCCTTTTGTTTGGCAATATTTTAGATTCCTATCTTCATGGTTATAACTATTACTACTTACTGCAAATTTGTAAAGTAATCAAAATTAGAGAAGTATTATCATCATCTATGAAAAGGCCCATACCACAAGATATATCATTTTGGACACCAGGACTGAAAACTAAGAGACTGACATGAAGATCTGTTCATTTGAATTTTCTCTGACAAATTCAATGATAAAGGAGAGAGCATGATGTACCATGCAAACATCTGGACCACTAATGAATTAATTCTAAACTACTTTCTTGAAAAGACCGCATTTTATCAATTACTATTGTGAAACTTTGTGGTCTAATATAAAACTGGGTATGTATAACTAATCTGGGTATGGCTTCAGTGAAAAACCAAATGTTACTCTAAATTTGGAAAAGCTGTTTTACTAAATTCTGATATTAAAAATAACCCTATAAGAAAATACACAATTAACTTAAATGGCATATGTGAATTTAATGATTTAAATGGCATATGTGAATTTAATGGTTTAAAGGAGTCTTATAGATCAATCTAGCCAGGCCTTCCAATCTATAGCTGAATCAAATGAAGTATGAAGATGTGAATTTATCGCCTCCAAAATTAAATTCCTGCCACAGAAAACTAAATCTCTAGATTATATAGAAGCAACAGTATTAAGAAAAATGTACTCTAGATTAGTTCCGAAGAACAAAAATAACAAACTCAATTAGAAAAGAAGGGTGAGATTATTTGAGAGAGGCAGACTTTTCCTATTAGAGTAGTGGTTCTCAACTCTAGCTGTCCATCAGAATCAGGTGTTGACTTTCTCACGTTGTTTTATTTCTCAAATATGATGCTTAAGACATTCTCTAGGCTAAATCAGAGTCTTCAGGAGTAGATTGCAGGAGTCTGAAAATTTTTTTTGAAAATTCTTGTTATTCTAATGTAAACCTAGGGATTACAACAGGTAAATTTGGACTTCTCATCTATACTCAAAATTGAATTGTAAACAATTTAAATAGCAGAGCCATATAATGTGACAACACACATGAACAGCCACAGTGGATCAAGTTTCTCATACCTAACAAAAATTCAAGCCTAAGATTAGTCCTTCTTTCACTTATGCTGATCTCTGAGCCCTGATAAACACTTTTCCTATTATTATTTTTATTTTATTTATTTTTTGAGGAGACAAGTGTCCTTTATTCTAGATTCCAGGAGCTAGGAAAGATGGTAGACTCAAGTCTAAAAATCCACCTTCCCACAGCCACACACTTTTCCTTATAAATGGTATGTCCTTCTTCCATGCCTTTGCCTAGGTAACATCTATTTATTTTTCAAGACACAACTCAAGTGTTATCCCTCTGTGAAGCATTGGTGATCCCTGCCCCTTGCCCAAGCTGTTAAGTGACCTTCTCCTCTGAACCTCTCGGCACAGGTCTATCACAGAACGCATTACACAATGAACCATGACAGACGATTTTCCTAACTGTTCTCTCAGTAGACTCTGCTCCTTAAGATAGAATCTGGGCTTTATTCTTTTTTTTTTTTTTTCATCCCTAGCATGTTTCAATAAAAGTTTGTTAGACAAATTTTGTGAGAGTCCATATGTGAAAGAAATATGTATAACATTAGTTCAAAACACCTAAGTCTTTCCAGGCAAGAGACAGTCTGATTTAAAGTCCAGTTAGGAGCAAGCAGATATGAACAAATGTGCTCTTCTACTATGCTATCTAAGCAGTCTCCTCAGCAGCCCTTTCCTCTTGTGCTGGCTAAGCCTGAGCCAGTGTGCATTCATCTAGGCCGTGCTCCACCAGGCACATTTCATAGTAAACACAAAAATTTTTTAATATAAAACATTTCTCTCTGCTGTTTCTACAATTCTTTTGTAATATCAATACTAACCAACTGCATACATAAAATTGAATGATAAAGTCAAAGATAAAAAAGAAAATCAATGTCAGCTAACAGCTATCTCATAAACACTGTACGTGAACCTGACATTACCAGAGCGTGCTATGCCGCTGTCTCGGTCCTCATTCAGCTCTCTTCCAGGCATGTCCATTGGGTTGCTGTGAACTGTGAATCAAGACAAAACCCTCAGTTATAAAATATATTGCTATTCAGGTTGATGTTGTTCCGATTGCAAACTAAATCATGCTCATCTCATTGCATTCCTTTATTTTTTCGACAGCATGGCACAAACCCAACACCAAGAGCTATTACTCAGTTGAACAAGCTTTGAGATCTCATGATTTGACATATAATATGAAAATAATGTATAATATCTGAAGAAGCAAGGGTGACTAAAATAAGTAGAAGCATATTCAATGACATAGGAAGATATTCACAATATACTATTAAATGAAAAAATAAAGCAAACTACTGAACTGTAAGAATGATGGTTGCTGGGGCTACGTGATGGGTATATGACAGGTCACTCTATTCTTCTGCCTATATCAGTGTATGTTTGAAAATTCTCCATAATAAAAATTTTAAGAAAATAGTTTCAAATAGCATTATCTCAATTTTGTTTAGAAAATAAATAAATAAGGTTATTTCTGCCTGATAGCTAACATATATTTTTTACCTATTTTTCACACTTTCCAAATTTTCTATAAATATGTATTTTTCATACCTCGTATTTGTAAGGAAAATAAATATTAAAACAAGAAGTTAGATACAACTTCCTGAATACCAAAGCATTAACTCACTCTATAATCATCAGTTTAACGATATAAACAAATATACTCATATACATCTTTTATAGAGCAATTATAATGGTGCTTGTTCAACTAAATCTTAGCTCCAAGAGAAATCATTCTTATGGAATAGTATAGACCAGAAATTTTGCAATAAATAAGATACTGATGAACTATGGTACATAAGCTACTTAGCCATGGAAACAAGATAGTGTGTCACATTAGAAATTCCAACTGGATTATAATATTCATACTAAAATTTAGTTTAGAATGCTAAAGTTAAATTCATTATTACATAATGAGATAAGAAATGACAAACTGAAATTTCATGAAAATGTCAATTCCACTGATCAAGTTTCTGGAAACTTCAAGAACATAGTCAGCGGAAATAAACTAAGTTTGTGCACTTCCTAAACTGTGCTTTCTTAACCACACCCTCCCCACCTGCACTGATTTACTCTCTTGTTTCCACAGCTTAACTACACATTCTAGCCACTGGGGCACCAACTAGTCTACCCACACAGCACATCGCAAACCTGCAAAGAAAGAGGCGCTCCTGATCAGGCGGAGCGGACCCTGTTCAGAGAATGCCCGCCTGGGGCTGCAGAACTGTGAAAGACCTACATGGCAAAAACGTAAAATACATGTGAAAGAGGGCTGTTAGAGAAGCAGCAGTGCGTCAGGAATAAAAGGTGAGCTGAGGCAGCACAAAAGCAGACCAACGGATATGGACAGAAACTTTTACACTAAATAAGAATAATTCAAGCTGGCTTCCCTTTTTCTAAAATGGGATGGTTTCCCTCTGGTCGTAGCTTATGTCAAACATAAGAATTTCATGACTGTTTACTAATAAATTTATATATAACAATAAAATAAGCTTCCACTATACAAGGTAAAAATTATTTTAAATGCTCTAGTCTAAAACAATGTTTCTAAAGATCCAAAAAAGCACAGTACTGTTATCTATACAATTTGACATTTGCTAAATAAATTTATCTTTGAAAAAGTCAATTTTAAGATAATAGTATTCTCCTGCGACAGCAGTATGGAGAAAACCACCTAAATGCTTGGCTGAGAAAACAGAACACAACGTACAACAAAGAGCAAATACAGAAAAGGGATCTATTGACAAGTAAGTACGAAACTAGTTTTTTCTAACCTAGTGATGTTACACGTAATGGAAGAAACCAAACTTCCTACACCAGGGTCAGCCACTAAGGAAGAACGCCACCAATGCAGTCTGTCAGGGCCAGACTCCTGGCTGCCAAGAAAAGTGGCTACTACACACTTGACCAAGAGAAGATAACAGAGTCTTAAAGACCCAAAAAGGACATTACAACCTAGAAGCAAGCAGCTGCATTACCTGTTAGTTACTCTTAATCACGATGGCCTAAATAGCCATCTAGGAGATTTACCTAGGACAGAGCAGGGAGCTTTCTGTTTAAAAAGTGACAAATGTATTTAATTGCTAATAGACATTTTTCTATAACAAGAATTTCTATAATTAAAGTGCATATGCAGCAATCCTTCCATGTTTCATTGTTCAGTTCTTCTTTCAAAACTTACCTGCTCTCTCTTTAAACTTCCCTACCTACCTCTTCCTTACTCTCAGCCAGCATATGACTTTGTCTCCTACAGTCCTATGTATATGCGTATGTATATGTGTGCGCACACAGAATTCACCAAATGGGAACTCTCCTTTTCCTACCAACCTATCTCCAAACTTAATCAAATTCTCACCCGTCTTTGCTTCCTTCTGGTCTGAGCAGTAATAACAGGGACCCTTATTCAAGCCTTACCGGGTGCTAGGGACTTAACTCAGTGAAAAATCCTGAGAGGTCCCTCCCTCCCTCCCTCCCTTTCAAAGCTCATTCTTCTAAATCAGCTAAGGCCTTCAAAAATCTCACTTTGCCAAGTATTACCTCTATCTCTAACTTCAGTCTCTTTATAACCTCCTTTTCCATCAACATTTAAACACAGCCAAAACTATTTTAACCTTCTGACCATATACGTATCTAATCTTAAAATTCAGCAATTCTTAAAGTGTGGTCCCCAACGACACCTGGGGAGTCCCTGCAACTTTTTCACAGGGTGTCTGTGAAGACCTTCCCTTTCCAACTACATATCCATGAGATTGGATTTTCTTAATACACTTGAACCAAAACAACATACCAAGAGACTGAATACAGAAGCAGATATGAGAATCTAGCTATCTTCTAGTAAGCCAGACATTTTAGGAGATTTGCAAAACTGTAAAATAATGCCATTCTTCTAACTAAATTATTTTTGTCCTGGAAAATAGTTATTTCAAAACATGCTATTTATATTAAGATGAAAGGTGTTATTAGTGTGAATTTTTAATGAATTACTACATAAATATTTTTAAATTTTGTTTTAGTTTCTAATATAGTATATATCAGTAAATGCAACCCACATAAACAAAAGTTTACTGTGGTCCCCCATAATTTCTAAGGGTTTAAATGGGTCCTAAGACCAAAAAAGTTGAGAACCACTACTTATATCTTGGAAGAAAAGACTAACGTCTGATCGCTCCTCCACTTCGACTTATATTCTCCCCACTGAAACTGGATGCGTAGGCCACCAAAAGCCTTCCTGCTGCTTAATGCAAGACGACATTACACTTTCAACTTTTCCCTCTCAGTTTCCATTAACGCAGTAAGCTTTTTTCCTCAGTCTCCTTTCTGTGCTTCTCTTCCCCTACTCCTTTCTTTAAAGCCTGCATTCCCCAGGATGCCATCCTCAACAACTTTTCCTTCTCATTCGTTATATTTCCTAAATCATCTCTTTCATTCTTGTTTTCGATTATCGTTTATCTGCTAATGATTCTCAAATCCTTCATAGATACAGCTGTCTGACAAAGAAAGAAGTGTGTTCTCCCTTCCTTAATATCAAATAGTCTCTGGGAAGCAACTGCCCAGCTAGGGACCGTATTTCTCAAATCTCCTTATAGACAGGTGAATCCACCAATGGAACGTGAACAAAAGTAACACATGTCACTTTCAGGCTGTGGTGGTTATGAAGGGGACATGCCTGCTCCAGACTTAACCTTCTCACTGCCTTGGCACAACGGAGCTCAACCTTGGAGTCCCCATGTGGAAGAAGGCAGAGCTCCAGGAAGGAAAGGTTGGACCTCTAAGACAACGGGGGTAAACTGCTTAACAATGAGGAATACCCTTTTGAACGTTACATGAGTAAAAGAAACCTCTATTGTTTTAAAATTATTGTACGTTCATTAGTTTCATTAGTTTTATATTATAGCAGCTACTACTTTAATATACCTATCTATCTAACTAAATATAATGGATGTCTCCACTTGGCTAGCCCACCAATACTTCCAAACCAACATGCCTAGATCTAAAATCATCAATTCCCAATTTTGTTTCTCCTAGTGAATGGCACCAATATCCATGCAATTACACAACCAGATGACAAAGTGCCACCCTTGATTCCTGCTTTTTCCTCATCTGGCTTCATTTACCAACTCTTGTCCAGTCTATTTTCCTAAATGCACCTCTCAATGACTCTCTATCCTCACTGACACAATCTTACTTTAGGTCCCCATTACCTATCACTTGGATTATCACAAAAAGCCTTTTATTGGGTTGTTGGAAAAATCATGACACATTTTTGCAACGAAAAACAGAAAAAATACATCATGACTTTTCCGACAACCCAATAATACAGATCTTTCTTCAGTCCTACTGGCTTACTTGAGTCCATTACCAATGCAATCAAAATATTCTTTTGCAGAGATAAATCTGAACTGAGTATGTTTCTATATAGACATACCTCGTTTTATTGCATTTCACAGATACTGCGCTTTTTACAAATTGAGGGTTTGTGGAAACCCTGTGTTAAACAAGTCTATCGGTGTTTCCAACACCATTTGCTCACTTCATGTCTCTGTGTCGTATTTTGGTAATTCTCACAGTATTTCAGACTTTTTCATTCTTATTATATTTGTTATGGTGTCTGTGATCAGTGACCTTTGATGTTACTATTGTAACTGTTTGGGGGCAACCACGAACCACTCCCATTTAAGACGACAAACAATTGATAAATGTTGTGTGTGTTCTGACTGCTCAACTAGCTATTCCCCAAGCTCAATCCCTATTCCCGAGCCTATTCCCTGAGACACAACAATATTGAAAGTAGGTCAATTAATAACCCCACAATGGCCTCTAAGTGTTCAAGTGAAAGGAAGAGTCACATATCTCTCACTTTAAATCAAAAGCTAGAAATGATAAGTTTGGTGAGGAAGGCATGTTGAAAGCCAGAACAGGCTAAAACCTAAGCTTCTTGCACCAAACAGTTAGCCAAGATGTGAATGCAAAGGAAAAGTTTTGGAAGGAAATTAAAAGTGCTACTCCAGTGAACACATGAATAATAAGAAAAAGGAAGTCTTATTGCTGATATGGAGAAAGTTTTAGTGGTCTGGATAGAAGATCAAACCAGCCACAACGTTCCCTTAAGCCAAAACACAATCCAGAGCAAGGCCCTAACTCTCTTCAGTTCTGTGATGGCTGAGAGAAGTGAGGAGGCTGCAGAAGAAAAGCAGGAAGCTGGCAGAGGTTGGTCCATGAGGTTTAAGGAAAGAAACCGTCTCCATAACATAAAATTGCGAGGTGAAGCAGCAAGTGCTGATGTGAAAGCTGCAGCAAGTTATCCAGGTCTAGCTAAGATAAGTAATGAAGGTGGATACACTAAACAACAGATTTTCAATGTAGACGAAACAGCCTTTTATTGGAAGAAGATGTCATCTAAGACTTTCATAGCTAGAGAGAGGAGAAGTCATTGCCTGGCTTCAAAGGACAGGCTGACTTTCTTGTTAGAAGCTAATGCAGCTGGTGACTAAGTTGAAGCCAATGTTCATTTGTCACTATGAAAATCCTTGGGCCCTTAAGAATTATGCTAAATCTACTCTGCCCACGCTCTATAAATGGAACAACAAAGCGTGATGACAGCAATGTCTGTTTATGACATGGTTTACTGAATGTTTTAAGCCCACTTTTGAGACCTACTGCTCAGAAAAAGATTCCTTTCAAAATATTACTGCTCACTGACAATGCAGCTGGGTACCCAGGAGCTCTGATGGAGATGTTTGAAATTAATGCTGTTTTCCTGTCTGCTAATGCAACACCCATTCTGAAGCCCATGGATCACCGAGGAGTAATGTCAACTTTCAAGTCTTATTATTTAAAAAGTGTATTTCATAAGGCTATAACTGCCATTGATAGTAATTCCTCTGATGGATCTGGTCAAAGTAAATTGAAAACCTTCTAGAAAGGATTCACCATTCTAGGTGCCATTGAGAACATTCGTGACTCATGGGAAGAGGTCAAAATATCAACATTAACAGTAGTGTGGAAGAAGTTGATTCCAACCTTCATGGATGACTTAGAGGGGTTCAAGACTTGAGTGGAGCAAGTAACTGCAGATGTGGTGGAAGTAGCAAGAAAACTAGAATCAGAAATGGAGCCTGAAGATGTGACTGAATTACCACAATTTCACGATAAAATTTTTAACAGGTGAGGAGATGCTTCTTATGAATGAGCAAAGAAAGTGGTTTCTAGAGATTGAATCTACTCCTGAAGATGCTGCCAAGATTGTTGAAATGACAACAAAGGATTTAGAATATTACATAAACTTAGTGGATAAAGCAGCAGCAGGGTTTGAAAGAAATGACTCCAATTTTGAAAGAAGTTCTATTGTGGGTAAAATGCTATCAAATAGTATTGCATGTTATAGAGAAATCACTGGTGAAAGGAAGAAGCAATCGATGCAGAAAACATCACTGCTGTCTTATTTTAATAAATGCAACAGCCAGCTCAGCCTTCGGCAACCACCACCCTGATCAGTCAGCAGCCATCATCATCGAGGCAAGACCCCTGACCAGCAAAAAGATTACAATTCACTGAAGGCTCAGATGATGGTTAGCATTTTTTCTAGCAACAAAGCATTTTTAAATTAAGGTACGTACACTGGGGGTGTTTTAGACACATTGCTATTGCACATATAACAGACTACAGTATAAACATAACTTTTATATGCACTGGGAAAACAAAAACTTTGTTATTCGCTGTACTGAAGTATTCGTTTTACTGTGGTGGAAACAAGTCGGAAATATCTCTAACGTACACTTGTATTCTGAAAGCTCCTCTGTGGTGGCCTTAAGAATGCACTGCAAAGATCTCCAGCTATGACTGTGATTGACAAAGTGACCACTGTATTCTGAAATCCACTGCCATGTTTGCGCAAGTTCACATGTCCCATAGGCTGCTCCCAGCCAATGACTGAACACAGCTGGTACAGACCGAGAGGAAGGCCCATTTTAGCAAGAAGTGAGTCTCTTTCTGACAACCAACTTTGACTCGAAAACTTGTAAATGGCCTTACCCAAACTTGCCTTGGACTGTATGTCAGGCTGGACTCTTTCATTCAACCTTCTATTCCTCTCTTTCACTTGGGGTCAGACTTGTATCACAATCTGAGTGATCTCTTGACCTTTTCCAGCTCTCTCCTCATTTTCTTTCACGTAGTCATTTCCCCTAATAAAATCCTTGCATGTTTAATCCTGTGCTGACACCTGTTAAAAAACAGGTGGAGGACCCAAACTAACATAGTCTCGCTGGTACCCAATGCTCGAAGCCTAAGGCGAAATTCCTTAGTATGGCCCACAGTGCCCTTTGTGATACGGCTCTTGCTCACTTCTTGCTTTTCACTTTCCTTACTCCTAATCTGTGCTCCACCCACCTTATTCACATTCTTTCCATGCTCTGTGATCTCTTGCCCCTAGTTCTGTCCACGTGTTATTGCTTTTTCCAAGAACATTTCTTTCCCCAAAAGTTGGGTAAATTCTTCAAGCTTATGCCTCACTTCTTCAAGGAAGCCTTCCCTGACTCTCCAAGATTGAATTAAGTGATCCTGCTCAGTTCTATCACACCATACTCTTAATCCTGTCCAAGAATTAACTACAGTATACTATAATTGTATTACTTGTCTAACTCCCACTAACTATAAATCTGTTGAGGTAGAAACTGAGTCTGGTTCACCTCAGGGCCTAGCAGAGTGCTTAGCATATGATAGGTGCTTGGCAAGTATTTGTTGATTAATTGAAAATTTAAAGAAAATAAGAAACACTGTTCAAATATTGATTCACAATAAGAATGTTTAAGTATTTAAAGTCTGTACTTTGTTAAATAATGTCCTATTCTATATTAAAACAGAGAAAATGAGTATATCTAACATCTATGGTATAATTTGCCATTATAAGTGATAATGAATTTGTACAAGTAAAATAAATAATTTTTAATAAGCCCCTTTAGCTTTGAAAAGTGTCCAATTATAAAGAAAAAAGATTTGGTTATTTCCTTGTCATATTTTTACTTTGCTAATACCAATGAAATAATTAATCAAATGAGTTAAGAAAAAGCAGAACTTATATTTTTCTATAAAATACACACAATTTCTAAAGTACATGCCTGACACTGTAACTAGCTTAATTAATGGTTGCTCATTTGAATGAAGATGAATTATAATATAAAAAGTAACAGAATGTTATACTGTTCAAGTTGGAAGAAAAAACTATTTTCTACTAATATATATAACTAATACATATTTATTAAAATTACAAATAAAAATTCTCATGCAACTGGGAATGACAGAAATACTCATCCTATTCTAACTGTAGTCTATTCTCTGACATATTACAGCTCTTTATGCACTAGAAATACGGTCAGCAGCAACTTAGTTGAGCTTTCTTGAATAAAAGAAATGACCAAAAATTTTATAGTTTGTCACTTTCAAATGTTGAATTTACATAAAACAACAATCAACTAACCAAATACTAAATAAGTTGTTATTCTAAGGAACATCAAATTTGAATATCTGCTCATGTGAAATATAGGTCACAAAAATGAGCACAATTTTAAAATAACTTTTATTGTTACAAAAGAGAGAAGAAGAAAAGTGTAATACCAGTCTTCCTAAGCTGAAATATTCAAGAGAGCTGGTCAGGGTTTTTTTTATATCAATAACAGTGCCTTTTAAAGATGCATCAAAGTTAAAAAAAAAAATTAGATCTTCAGCAGTTCTTTTTTTCAGATACAAAATAAACATTATACTCAAATATATGACAATCATGTTTTTTGAATAATACAATGTTATATACACCTGCAATTTAAATGACTTTTCCATTTTTAGTATTTGAAACCCTTTGGTCTTATAAAACATGTACATTATTAAGAAAGAACTGCAAATCTTTGTCATGTTGCTAACATTTTTAAAACTTACAAAACCCAAAGAATCATTTACCTATATTTCCAAGTAGTCCATTAATAACTGTGTTACTATCAGCCTTTAATGTATTGTTGTCCTGATTGATGAATTCAAGACTGTCTTGCAGCCTAAGGGGAAGAAGAAAGAAATAAATTCCAAATTCATTTTATGCTCTTAATGGCAATTCCTTGCATATCTCAATGAAATTTTAAATGCGTAACAGTTTTTTAAGTTTTCAGTTTCCCTATTAGTGGTATAAACTAATAATTAAAATCAGCGGTTGGCAAACTATAGCCTAAGAGCTAAATCTAGCCTACTGCCTGTTTTTGTAAATAAAGTTTTATTGGAAGACAGCTACACCCAGTCATTTGTGTATTATGTATGGTTGCTTTAATGCTACAATCACAGAGCTGAAAAACTATGACATACTGTCTGGCCCACAAAGCCAAAAATATTTATTAGCTGGACCTTTACAGAAAAAGATTACTGATCCTGATTTAAATTACAAAGTTTCCCCTCAATTTTGGACCTGAAAATATCTCCCAAACCTCTTGCAGAAAACAAGAAAGAAAAAAAAAAGAATCAATCAAATATCAAACAGGTATACTTAGTCTGCACATTATAAATGGCCTATATTATTTTTCAGTAAACTCTTCAAAATAACAAAAGTAAAATTATGTGTCTAGTACAAAGTATCCTTCCTTAAGATTTTAAGAACTATTAGAGCTAAAAATGATGAAGAAACTGAGGGGATTAGAGCTAAAATCAGTCATTCTAATGTAGGACTTCTAATTTCTACTTCAGTATTAAATTCTTAAAACATAGTGCTTTTGGCATATTTTTTAAGTGTCAATGATGCTGTAAAAAAACATCTCTCCCTTTCCTTCCTACAAGCTAAAAAAGAGCTACAAGTATTAGAACTTTAGCTAGTAAAACCTCTCAGAAGTCTTTTTAGAGTGTTTACAATTAATAGAGGCTCTTGAGAATTTCTCTAGTTCTGAGTCAGCTCCTTGCTACTTCTTGCTGCTTTTGACTCTGGATACCCCCATGTACGCTGGCTAGCCAAGTTTCTGATTTGGCACCTACAGAATGCCTCCCTGGGTTCATTATCACCTCATGCTAGCTCCAGTCCTTCATTTACTTGGTTCTGGCATACAGCCCATTATCCTGACATCAGGGCAGCTTCACTATTCTAATCTTGGCAATAGCAACTTGTAATGTCCCTGTGCCCCACCATATGGCTGACCTAGGTCATTCCTAATTGCAGGGTTAATTATGCAGGAAATCTAAAAACTGAAGAGGCACAACCTACAGATGCCAAGTCAACATGGCACAGAAAAATGGAAAATTGGCCTGTCAGCTTAACATGGAAATGCATTCAACATTTTACTTCCAGATACAGTTTATAGCAAATTAGAGGAAGATAAACATTTTCTGTTCTTCAACTAAAAACAAGACCCAACAATATGCTGCCTACAAGAGACTCACTTCAACTTTAAGGACATACATAAGCAATATGAAGTGGAAACCAAAAGAGAGCCGGAGTAGCAATACTTATCAGATAAATTAGACTTTAAGCCAAAAACGGTAACAAGAGACAATAATGGTCATATAATGATAAGAAGAGTAATTTATCAAGAAGATATAGCAATCATAAATATATATGCACCCAACATCAGAGCACCTAAACATCCTAAGCAAATACTAATATTCCTAAAGGAAAAAATACACAACAATGCAATAGTAGAGGACTTCAATACTTTACTTTCAATAATGAATAGATCATCCAGACATAAAAACCAACAAAAAAACATAGGACTTAAATCATACTTTAGACGAAATGGTACTAACAAACATACACAGAACATTTCATCTAACAGCAAGAAAAGCCAGTCTTCTCAAGCACACATGAAACATTCTCCAGGACAGATCACATGATAAGTCACAAAACAAGTCTTGGCAAATTTAAGAAGACTGAAATCATACCAAGTACTTTTCTGTCCACAATATGAAACTAGAAATCAATAATAGGAGGAAAACTGAAAAATTCACAAATATATGGAGATTAAACAACATGCTTCTGAACAACCAATGGGTCAAAGAATTAAAAAAAAAATCAATAAATATCTCAAAACAAATGAAATGGAAGCACAGCATACCAAAACCTATAGGATGCTGCAAAAGCAGTTAGTTCTAAGAGGGAAGTTTATAGGAACAAATGCCTACATTAAGGAACAGGAAAGATCTCAAATAAACCACCTTACTGTATACCTCAAGGAAGTAGAAAAAGAATAAATTAAGCCCAAAGTTAGCAGAAGTAAGGAAATACAGTAAGTCCTCACTTAACATTGTCGATAGGTTCTATAACGTTAAGTGAAATGATGTATAATGAAACCAATTTTACCATAGACTAATTGATATAAATAGGAGTTAGGTTCCTACAGCATCTCCCAACATGATAACAAAATGACGTTAAACAAAATGACGTTGAGGATCTGCTGTAACAAAAACCAGAGGGGAAATAAATAAAATAGAAACCAGAAAAATAATACAAAAGACCAATAAAACTAAGAGCTGGTTTTCTGAAAAGATACACAATATTGACAAACCTTTAGCTAAACTAACTCAGAAAAATAGAAAGAGGACTCCTATAAATAAAATCAGAAATGAAAGAGAAGACATTTCAACTGATACCACAGAAATTAAAAAAAAATCATGAGACTACTATGAACAATTATATGCCAACAAACTGGATAACCCAGAAGAAATGGATAAAGTTCTAGAAAATACAACCTATCAAGACTCAATCATGAAGAAAGAAAAAATCTGAACAGACCAATAACAAGTAGGGAGACTGAATTGGTAATCAAAACCCTCCCAACACAGGAAAGCTCAGGACGAGATGGCTTCACTGGTAAATTCTAACAAACATTTAAAGAAGAATTAACTATAATCCTTCTCAAACTCTTCTCAAAACCAAAGAGAAGAGAACACTCCCTACACTTCAAAACCCACATTAGGACAGCACAAGTAAAGAAAATTACAGACCAATATCCCTGATGAATATAGATATAGAAATTCTCAACAAAATATTAGCAAACGGAATTCAACGGCACACTAAAGGATCATTCAACATGATCAAGTGGAATTTATCCCTGGGATGCAAGGATGGTTTAATAAATGCAGAGTAATAAATGGGATACATCATACTAATAGAATGAAAAGTAAAAATCATATCATTATCTCTATACAGAAAAAGCATTTGACAAAAATCCTGTCAAAAAACAAACAAACAAACAAACAAACAAACCTCAACAAAGAGAGTATAGAAGGACTATACCTCAACATAATGAAGGCTATATGCGGCAAACCTAAAGCCAACATCATATTCAACGGTGAAAGCTTGGAGATTTTTTTTCCCCTTAAGATCATGAACAAGACAAGGATGCCCATTCTCCATTCCTATTCGACATAATACTAGAAGTACTAGCCAGGATAATCAGGCAATAAAAAGAAATAAAGGGCATCCAAAGAGGAAAAAAAAAAAGTAGAACCGTCTGTATTTGTAGACAATATGATCTTATATAGAGAAAATCTACCAAAAGACTGCTAAAACTAAAGAATAAATTCAGTAAAGTTACAGGGTACAAAATCAACAGACAGAAAACAGTTGTGTTTCGATATACTGACAACAAAACATCTGAAAAAAAACCAAAACGCTCCTGTTGACAATAGCATCAAAAATAATAAAATACTTAGGAATGATTTAATGAAGAAGATAGTGAGAACTACAAGCCTTTGATGAAAGAAATTGAAGAATACACAAAAAAAATGGAAAAATACCTTGTGTTCATGAATTGGAATAAATATTGTGAAAATGTCCATTTAACCCCAAGCTATCTATAGATTCAATGCAATTTCTGTCAAAACTCCAATGGCATTTTTCACAGAAATAGAAAACCACCTTAAAATGTTATGGAGCCACAAAAGACCCCAAATAGCCAAAGCAATCTTGAGAAAAACAAAACCGCAGGTATCGTATGTTCTAATTTCAAACTACGCTACAAAGCTATAGTAATCAAAACAGCATAACACTGGCATAAAAATAGACACACAGATCAATAAAATGGAATCAAAAGACAAGAAACACCTCCGCCACATATATGGTCAACTAATATCTGATGAAGGAGCCAAGAATACTAATTAGGGGAAGGATAGTCTTTTCAATGAATGGTGCTGGGAGAACTAGATAACCATATGTAGAAGAATAAAATTGGAATCCTCTCTTATACCATTCACAAAAATCAACACAAATAGATTAAAGACTTAAACATAAGATCAAAACCGTAAAACTCCTAAAAGAAACCACAGGAAAAATGCTCCTTGACACAGGGTTTAGCCGCGATTTCCTGGATATGGCACCAAAAGCACAATGAAATAAAAAATAAGGAACTGGGACTACATCACTAAAAATCTTCTGTACAGCAAAACAGTCAACAAAATGAAAAGGCAACCTATGGAATGGGAGAAAATACTTGCAAATCATGTAGCTGATAAGGGGTTAATATCCAAAATATACAAAGAACTCATAGAAATTAATAGCAAAAAAACCAAACAACCTCATTAAAAAATGAATAGTTCATCTCAGTGTTCAGGGGAACTGAACAGACAGTTTTCCAAAGAAGATATACAAATATCCAAAAGGTACATAAAAAGGTGCTCAAAATCACTAATCATCAGGAAAATACAAATCAAACCACAATAAAATATTAATTCATACTGTTAGAATAGCTATCATAAAAAAGACAAGCAATAACAAGTGTTGACGAAGATGTGCAGAAAAGGGAACCCTTTTACACTGTTGGTGGGAATATAAATTGTTGCAGCTGCTATGGAAAACAGTATGGAGATTCCTCAAAAACTTAAAAATATAACTACCACATGATCCAGCAATTCCACTTCTGGGTATAAATCCAAAGAAATTGAAATGAGGATCTCACAGAGACATTTGCATTTACATGTTCATTGCAGCATTATTGACAATAGCCAATATAGAGAGATAAACTAAGTGTCTGCCAACAGTTGAATAAATAAAAAGATGTTATATACACATACACATACACACACACACACACACGCACATGGGGGGACGGGAGGCAAAGGAGAGGGAGAGGGAGAGGGAGAAATTTGTTATGGAGCCATGAGAAGGAAGGAAATCCTGACATTTTCGACAACTTGAATGAAAGTTGAGGGCATTACGCTAAGTGAAATAAGTCAAAAAGAGAAAGACAAATAACATATGATATCACTTGTATGTGTAATCTAAAAATGCCCAACTCAGAAAAATAGAGTGGTGGTTACCAGGGACTTGAGGAGAGAGAAATGGGGAGCTAATGGTCACAGGGTACAAACTTCAGTTATAAGTTAATGTGTTCTGGGGATCTAAGGTACAGCATACAGATTATATCAAATAGTACTATATACTTGAAAATTGCTGAGAGCGTAAATCTTAAATGTCCTTACCACAAAAAAGAAATGGTAACTACGTGATAGGATGGAGGTGTTAACTGATGCTATGGTGATAACCATTTTGCAATATATCAATGTATCGAGTCAACATGTACACCTTAAACCTACACAATGTTGTAAGTCTATTACAGCTCAGTAAAGCTGGGGGTGGGAATCTGGCTTCCATAAACTTTCAAATTTAAGTGATGGGGGGAAAAATATCTGAACTTAAGCTGCAATCCTGAGAGCAGTCTGTTAGTTTTTATACTCTGCACATCTTAATTCATTTCTCCCTGTGTCCATAACCACTTACGTATTGAGACTCCCACAGATGCTGCTGCCAGTCCGTGCAGTAAAAACTTTGCTGAGCATAAGCTGTGGAGGAGAACTATGAAGAAAAAGAGGGACAGAGAGAGATCAAAACTAAAATACAAGAATCTTTTCAATTTACTATAAATAAAAATATGTAAATCACAGAGATTTCACTGCAGAGTCACAAGAGCCATAAAGCAGCATCAAACCCATAGAACATTATATTAACTGAGTAATGTGACATGCTCAATCTGAGTGAAGACTATATGAAATTCTCTTATCTGCAAAAATATTAACCATTCTAAATGGATTAAGAAAAATCAGAAAATCCCCTACCGAATTTGATGAATTTTTAAGGTGGATCCTTTGTAGCTCATTGCTACTGAGCCAAACATCATCTCTCCAAGCATGTTGGCATCAGAAGAGCACCGAGAACCCTAAACAATAGCCGAAAGATTAATAAAATTGCAGAATTAAAAACCTTATGATTTTCAAATACTAATTTTTATTAAAAATTATTTTGCTGTAGTTAGTTATTCTACGTAATAGTTTTTTAAGTGATTCTATTCGGTATACACTGTTCTGCAGCTTGATTCTCTTCATTTCACAATGTCTTATAGATCTAACCATAGTTACACATGGATTCCTTTTAAGAACCACACAGCATTCTACTGTATGAAAATACTGCAGTTTGAGCCGGCCGAGTGGCTCAGTTGGTTAAGAGCTCGCTCAAGAGTTTGAGCTCTGAGCAACAGTTCGAGTCCCTGCCCGAGCTGACTGCCGATGAGCTGCCAACAGGTGGCAGGACGGCTCAGCTAAAAAAAAAAAAAAAAAAAGAAAGAAAATACCGTAGTTTTTATCAAGTCAGTTCCCCTTACTAATGGGTACTACGTCACTTCCAGGTTTTTGCTATTACAAATGAGTGTTATTAACCAAATCTTATACATATACAATGTTTCTCCAGCACAGATAACAAGTAGAATTCATAGAACTTGAATTTTTACTACTCTTATGCAAAAAATTCGTATCTATTTTGTATTTTTTTAAAGGACTTATTTGAAACATTAGAACGACTTGTTTTCAAAAAACTCTGATCAAAAAGTTGTTCCTTTCCATTATTCTTTAATTGTCCTCATAGGAATCAGAAAAAAGCTAAAAATTGAACTCATCCATTTGCTTACTATTTAGATACTGTGGCAAATATCACTAATTATCTATCAAATATCTTATTCCTTATTTTTTGAAGTCCTGTTTGTTTCAGGGCAGCAATGTGCCAAACGGAAAAAAATGCATTTCAGAGCCTCTTTTGTAAATAGGAAATTTAGGGTTGGTTTCTGTATTCAAAGGGTTAAACTAATGGCTGGAGCAGCAGATTTCAGAACTATCCATTTGTATGCATTCAACCAGGATTGTCAATGAGATATAAATGGAAGTCAATAGTGATGGAGATGCCATATCCAACCACAAGGCAACAAGTACACATTAATTCTATGCAGAAAGATAAGGGAGCCTTGGTCTCTGAGGCCATCTTGAAACCCATACATCATACCTAGACAGCTTACCTCCAGACTTCTTGTCATGTGAGGAAAATCCCTAATTTGCTTAAATCACTGTTTTAGAGGGTGTCCCAATGCAATTGCCAATGCTATATAACAACACAACTGATGAGGAAGATGACCTAAATAACTAAGATACTAAATGAGAATTAGTCACAAATTTCACTAAAACCATTCCATCATGGAAAAATCAAGAAACTGAAGTTTTTAAAAAATACTTAAAAGATTTTTTTTT